AACTACCCAACCTCGCTCCAAACACTGGAGTTTTCCAAAGTTGAAGTTGCAAAAAGGCCTACTAGAAAAAGTCAGGAGACTGCCATCCTGGCGTGGCTGAGAGTGGAGTGAAGAAAGACACGAGATGCCGGCGTGCTACACTCAAACCCTTCTTTCTTTATTCTTCCCCGTGTCATCTGAAATGACGCACTCTGCACAGACCCAGCAGCACTCCTGTGCATACCTCTAAGGCCGTGTCCCACTCCTGCCAAGGCACAAGTGTCACTTTCATATATGGAAAGAGAATATATTCTGATTTTAGTTTTTAAGTTACGGATTGCATCTTAAGACTAGACGGCAAATCTAGACGAGTCTAAAAGTATATATAGTACAGCTTTGGCCATAACAGCTCCAAAAGAAGTATTTCTGTGGTGTTGCTTTGAAGTTATCTTTCCTCATGACTCTAAAGAAGACTCTCATTTGTTTTGCTCTGGACCGTGGTCTCCCAGAACAGAAGACAGGCTCAGAGAGCCCCAGCCACCCAAGAGGAGGCTTAATCCGCTAAGCCAGGGGACAGAGGGAGAAAAGAGCTGACATCTCTGTTGGTAAAGCTTCTGTTAACATACACACGAATTCTGCTGTGTTTACACAGGTAAAACACCATTGTTCAATGAACAATTTAAGAACTTGAAGTTTTAAAGAATTATGGTAAAAATTTAACCTGTCATTTATCAGCATATTTTAAAGGTGAGAACTGTATGCATTGTGAGAACAGTGATTGTAAAACCTATTCGTGACATCCCAGACTATTATGGAATTCTTAAAAGGATGTTTAATTTACTTCTATGAAAAACACTTGCTGGAAAGGTAGAACTATAGGTGTTTAAAATAACAAAGGCTGGGAATCACTGTTTTCTATATATACACATTACATACATTACTATTAACTGGCATTGCACTTAAATTTGAAAAAGATAAAATTGATAAGAATATGCCTTATATTTACTGTTTGATATGAATGTCAATAGAAAACTATTAAGAAAATAGCTTCGTATTTATATTGAATGTATAAATGGAGAAACCTAAGTTATTCGGCCTTTGAAATGAAGTAGTCTTATTTAAAAATGGAACTGTCCTTCCACCCCCTACCTGGTGTGAAGAAATATTGTGTTTTATTAAGGAGAATCGATGGTTCAGTGTGAACAAGCTTCAGCACCAAAATGCACAAGGACAGAGGCGTCTGTGCACGGTAAGGTGCTGCTAACGATTCCCCTCACACAAAAACATGGCAGAGGTGGACAGGCACATAAGGACTTGTTTTTCCTTTTAGTAACTAAAAAGGCATTTGTTAAAATACTATACAACTAAATCAAATAGAACTACTTTAAAGAAATACTTTGAAGGAGGGTTAAACAAACTCTTAAATAGGTCTCTAAAATTCCTCAGACCTATACAAATCTAAAATAACCTATATAAATCTAAAATAATCTTTATAATATCCATACTAATACTTAAGTGTGCAATAACATTTTTTAATGCAACACTGTACAAACCACATGCAATGACTATGTTAATCTACACACTTTCTTCCTATGAGTTTTTCCTCCATAACAAACTTGAGAACACAAAGAAAGCATTCCTTACAGTTGCTGCCAAATAGCCCACCGATGGATAGAAACCATTCCCCATTTAACTGATGGATTTAAACTTGATCCACTGGTTTGCACCCCGGACTTCAAAAGGCGGATCACTGCAGTAGATGTGATAGCCGAGTTCTTCCAAAGGTGGTTCAGGATCGGCTGTAGCAAACTGGGCAGCATCCTCAATTTCTTTCCTCACTTCAACATCAATTTCCTAAAAATCAGATTACAGTTCAGGAGATTTCCGAATAGACAGCAGCTCAGGCACCCAACTAGTTCTACTTGGAACCTGTTGGTAGTTTAGCTGTAACTCTTCTACTAGTATTCAAAGTATACACTGTTGCTACTTTTGAAGATGTTATTTTAAAAATGACACCCAGCTACACAGAAGTATTCCGGAATACAGACATCAACATTTAAACCAGATATACCCTAGCGAGGCAACTTTGTGAACTAAAAATCCAAAGTGCATTTTTAGGAAGAAAGAACTGAGCTATGGGAGGAGTTTAAAGGCTTTGCCAGTTATGACTGATAAACGGCTCATGAAAATGCTATGAACTTCCCCATCAGCTAGTTCACCTAGGAGCGACAGCATTTTTTGCGGAGAAAAACTGCTCCGAAAGGAGAGCCAACCTTCAAAGGCAGACTTTTAAACCATCAAAAGTGACTATACCTTTAATTCTTCAACACTGGCAAGACTGCTGTTCACCATCCTATCCTTGAGAAGCATGATAGGGTCACTCTTACTTCTTACTTCCTGTATTTCTTCTCGTGTACGATAACTATTAAGAGGGAAACACAGGTACAAGTAGGCAAGAACAGTTCCGGAACAGAAAAGACAGTCTGTGAAATACAGAAGTACGTTTCAGAGACGAAGGAGCGTATCAATGCTGATGTCACCAGAGGAATGCAGAGCTGTACTTTCAAAATACAAGAAGCCAGCCTTACATTCCGTAAGAGCGGCTCTTTTATGGAAAACTCTACAGGGGGAATTCCCTTGGCTTCTCTGGTCTTCTGACAACAGGGGCCAACTCTTTATTTGCTTCTTTGATGTAGATGTAGGGTATGAAGGTAGTGGTGCAGCCTCTTTATATCCAACTGTCCCACCCTTCTGAGCTCCTACATGTTCAGTGGGTGGGGACAGTGGAGACGGTTTTGTGTAGTGATAGCTATAGACTCTGAGGCAGCAGAACGCCAAGCAGGAAGTAAAGGTGCCTTTCCTTTCTCCCTTCAGAGCTTCGAGCACTGTGGCTGGCAACAACCTGGGGACCAGGTTTCCCAATTCTTGACTGAACAGTACATCCCTGTCCTATATCATCTGCAATAACACTAAAAACAAAGGCTCTACCATTTTTTGAAAATACACAAAGGGCTGCTTTCCATCTAAGTTCCTCTTTATAACATTTTCCCTTAGACCTTCATTCCACTCAAAGGCTTATTACGGCTTACTTTGACTAAACCTACTCTTTTAATTGTGCCACACTCTGGGACAGTAGCCCCGCGTGCCACTGAGTGACATGAGTTACTAAGTGACAAAACTCCTATCTTCCTAGTATAGCCTATTTTTTTTTGACTGACTGGTCTGTTTCAACACAGGGGATATCCCCACATACCAGCGGGCCTCGCTCCATACCAGCGAGAACATTTTCAAACTGACTCTGCCGGAGGAGTATGCTAATTTGGGCTAATGCCTACGAAAGCTAAATGCCCCCACGTCTACTCTACCATCAGACCTGTTTTAGACAACAATTTCTCTCTGTATTGTTTTCTTACTGCTGCTCATGCTAACACGTACATACTCTATACTGCAGGAATTTTCAGAGTGTTTTCTATACTAGAACCAATGTATTGGGAGGTACTCCTTTCAGGCTAAGACTAACTCCTAAATGAATGCATGAAGCCAACTGGTGTCTGGCTTCAAAAGCAAATGTTGAAACACTTTGCTTTTTCATACAAGTAGCACCTTTCAAGCCCCCCTACTCTGGACACCATGCTCAGTTTTCCCATAACTATACCTGACTCCGGGATCACTCATGCTGTGTCCGTGGTAACGGTAAGTCTGCAGCTCCATCAGTATGGGCCCCTACAACGGAACCCAGGTGAGGTGAGATGAGACGCTGTGCACAGCCTCCAATGCACACCGTTTCAGGATCACAGATAACTCTCACTACATCTCCTAAGTTAAGAATTTCTTCTTATGTGACTGATTCTTTCCTAACTCTTCTCATTTCTAATACCTATTTATCAACTGTTTCATCCTTATTTTTAACAGGAACTTAGTAAAAGCTACCTACTGCAGCTTACTTTGAATCTACAGACCCCAATGACATTACATAAACAATGGTCTGTTTCATCAGTATTGCATTTGATATATAATTCTATAAGAACAGCTCGAATTTAATGCATCAAGGCTTATTAGACAGCAGGAATGGCCTTTATCTTCAGGGTCCATAAACCACTCTTTTCCCCCTAGTCACAGGTGAAATCATCTACAAGCATTCTCTGACCCTTTTAAAGCTAGTGAAAAACACTAACATACACCATAACACAAGATTAAAAGCAATCCTCCAGTTCTCCTGTCCTTCTGCACTTTTCAGCACACGTAAAAATAGGCTGCACAGGGGAAATTTCTACCTCACATCCATCTCCTGCAGTGTTTCGTAGGGGCTGGCAACGAATCCTGCTTCACGCAGGTCTGGCTAGTGTGTCACAAAGTTAGGAGGCTCCGATGACCTGATACCTGACCCCACCTCTGCGAGTCTGGCTACCACCAAGGAGCTTGCTCAGGCTGCACTAGCCCCCTCCCAGGAGACAACTTGGAATACTGAGGGGATGGGGTAGATCTAGGGTCCCTGGGCAGTTTGGTGTAGTACTTAAAAAGGGGGGCTCTGAATCCAGGTGCCCGGGTTCCAATCCTCGCTGTAATATATCATAGCTAGCTCTGTACCTCAGTTTCCTCACCTACAAAACGGTCATAACCTAACACAGAGTTGCGCTGATTAAGGAATACATAAAAACTGCTTAGTGTGTTTGTTGGCTGACCTATCAATCCCTCATTAACTGTCAGCTACTCATTGCTCTGTCATCCAGTAGCTATTTGGAAGCACAATGGGTTGGGCTAAGGAGATGGGGATAAAGGGACTTTTCCAGCTACTCCCATAATTCCAAGATCAAGCTCTGGTCAGGATGGAAACATCAATACACACTATAACCTACTCATCCTTTCCACATAGGGGTGGACGCCACCTATTCTTTCAAGAATTGGGGGAGAAGAGGAGAATACCTACCACCCAGAGCCTGAACCCCGTCATCTTGGACTCCTGATGTAGACCACTGAGTCCACTGCCACCAACCTGCCATCAGCTATTTTATTCTCTTCTCATTTTCTCTTCAACAGCTCTGTATTTCCCTCCCCACTTCATCCTCTCTCCCATTTTCATCCCTGAAGTCAAATCTTCTTTGCGTTACTGCCCAGCACACATGAGGGAAAGGTAAACCTCGGGAGCACGCTTTCTGGGCTGTGGAACACTGATTTAGGGAGAACAACATCTTCCCACGGGCTTGGATGGCATGTAACCCTCTTTTTAGGACAATCTCACTGTTCCCTTCTCCCCTCCACTGCTATAACTGAATGATCATGATTCTTAGGACTGAAACAGCAGGACCAAGACTATTCTATAAATTAAATATTATGGTTACATTATAGACAAACTTATACTGAATGCCTAATACATAAACAAAGTTCTGTGCTGGGCAATGCGGGTGTCCCCAATCTATTCACTTACGGGGATTATGATTAATTGAGGGGAGGGGAATTAGAGGCATGTAATAAAACAAACCTGTCACAATGAAGACAGGCAAAACACTAAGCACTGGAAGAAAAGATTTACCCCAATTGGGGGAAACAAGGAGTGTTTCCCAAAAGATGAGTTACCAAGACCACGTCATTTACAGAGGGAACCAATTCACTTAACTGGACTCTGCTTCCATCTTATTCACCTCAATTAACAGCTACCCCTAAATAGCTACAACAGACATGTGGGAGGCATTCTTTTCAGACAGATAAATGTCATCAGAAATCTCTAGCCTAGAGGTCTACAGGAAACTCTTACCTTTCCAGATCTACAATAGGCAGCTGCAAACCTCGTGGCCTCTCGGACACACAGGATATCCATTCCATCTACCTGTTAATAAATAGGAAAGGGCACAGCATAATCCAACTGCCTAAAACCATTTTCATTTTACATGAGCTGCCCATGCACTGAGAAAACAGACCTCTTCAATTTGTATGAGGTTAAGGGCAGGCACACAGGCACTAGGCCATAAGAGTGTAGCCCCAACTCCACAATAGGAGGCCTTACCCTCAGCCCAGGAATGAAGTCGCCTCTCTTGTAGTAATCAGTGCTGGCTGCTGCCCTCTCCACAGATGTTCCCATTCCATAGCGGTTATTCTCACAGATGAAAATACAAGGCAACTTCCACAAAGCTGCCATGTTGTAAGCTTCGAATATCTGACCCTGGAAGTGTGTATAAAAGATCAAGTGGTTTCATTTTGCTGTTTTTCTGTAGACTTCATCATCCACAAGAGCTGCTGCTCTACCTGGCAGAAAAAGTTCCCCTCATCTACAAGTCCACTTCTGAGGCAAAGGAGAGAGTGCGTGTGTTGGGGGGGAGGTAGGGGGAGAAGCAGCAAGCGCATCATCTCTCTGCAACTAAGTGACAGACCTAATACTACTACTTGTTTCTGTGGGGCCAAGGTGGTAGGACAGACGACACTGGGAAAAGATCAACATGTAAACATGTACAGCTATCTAATTTTATGCTCTATTATGAATTCTATGAGACCCTCTGGGTAACCAGAGTGAACAAGTGTCTGAGAATCAGCATCCAGAGCAGGGCCTCACAGAGTGTCGTCTACAGACTGCTGATTACTCAGACTGTCACACGAAAGCAGAAAGAGTCATGGCTCAGAAACCATGACAGGTGTCTGACGATGCCTTGGCATCCAAGAGAATGAGTCTGTACATTACAGTACTGGTTTAAGACCTGGTTTACAATGTATGAAAAAGTAAAATGGTCCTTCACCACAGTTTGTGAAGCATGGAAGTAGAACAAAGGAGCGCTCCTTCTCAGGAGTGCACCCACACAAAGTGCTTGTGAAACAATGCTAAGATGTAAATCTCTAACCTGTGGCCATAAAACCAAGTTGTAGCTTGCCATATGAATGTCCACTTCAACTAATAAGTAACACAATACTTCTCCACAAACTGCACTAAGAATAGTCAACACTTTGGGGAAAACATTATAATCGTTATTGCAAAGAGATACACACTCACCTGATTAGCAGCACCATCGCCATACAAAGTCAAACAGACCTCATCTTTTCCATTATACTTACAGGCCAGAGCAATCCCAGCTCCCAAGGGCACCTAATATTAAGAACAACCAAGAAAGAAACCACAGAAATCCACAAGGGGATAAATTAATGCTCTCAATGTTAACCCCTGGCCAGACTATGAGCTAGAAATGACACTGTCCCTAGAAACTCTCCCTACTCCAACCTTGTCTCTGTTTATCCCACCCCCAATATTACAACCAAATTGGTGAAATAACATGAATAATTATTATCATATTCTATTTCATCTATTAAGCAATAACATCTCTGATTCAAAGATTCAACTACTAATCCAAAAACAAAACCCCAAAATGAAACCAAGGGTTTAAAAATAAAAACAATAAAATGCTAGAATCTTAGTATTTTAGAAAGTAAACCAAACAATGTAGATATGATTTTACACTGTTACTTGTTCATTATTTACTAATTGAGGAGGACGACACAATCACAGAAGATGGTTTTAGATTCAAACTAGGCCCCTAAAATCCTGACGACCAGCCTCTCCTGGCCTCGCACCAGTGCCAGCATGGTCTACAGCAGGCAGAGAAGTGGGCAAAGAGGATGCGACAAGGCAATCAGTGTACTGAAATGTAAGTTAAAAGGTGAAGGTATAGCTCTATTACTAGAGGCTCCTGCTTACTTATAAAACACAACAAATATGTAAAAGGAAAAACGTTAAATCACGTTCAGATCTATTTATTAAATTTTCAAGTGGTAGGGTGTGAAGCAATGGGTCATTTAAAGCACACCAAGCCACTCGAAATACTAAAAAACTTCAGAGGGAAGTCCTCTGGGTATGAAATACTGCAAAGACGTGGGCCAGGGTCAAATCCAGGAAACCATGCAATCTTCATCCTCAACTACCTGAGCTCCCACAATGCCATTGCCCCCGTAGAAGTTCTTGGCATACATATGCATTGATCCTCCTTTTCCTTTAGCACAACCTCCTCTTCGTCCTAGAAATGGCAGTACACACGCATAACACGTCAAAAACCAAATACATGAAACAAACAAAAACCCCAAGTATTTGCTTAAAGGCTCAACCATTAGAACTCAGAAGCCAATTCAATTATATAAGCACTTGTCCCTCTGTGCAAATATATATTCCTCCTCATCTCCTGGTTCTTTTATAATAAAGGTCAAACCAGTCCCATGTCCTTGATCTTTCCAACCTTTCCAACTATCTAATCACCTAGTTTCCTTCAGATGTTAACGTGGTAACCTAGACTTTTTCTTTCTGCCAGTAACAAACATCTTCCCATTTCTCCTATACTGGTACACTAAACAGTTCAAGAATCAAGGGTGACAAGGGAGTATTAGCAAGATTCCTAGAATTCTACATGTACACAATGAAATGCTTATACTCAATTTACTTTCTTTGACTGCTAGATTTCTGCTGGCATGTTTAAATGATAAACACTATTCTGATTTTATAGAGCTGACCTTTTAAAACTTTTACCGAGAACTCAGATAACCTCAAAAATGGTTAGTTTACTCAAAAGCATAACAGAGGTACCAGAACACCAAAAGGGAGATGATTTTTCTGGGTTTTGGTGTTTTTTAAAACTTCAAAAAGGTTTTAATGTTAACTTATAAGTGGTTAGCATCTTAGTAAGAGATTTGAAAACTCAATTCACTAATTTCTTCTTTTTGTAAATTAATAGCAAACCTGTAAGTTCTGCGAGAATTTCTCGGACAGAAAGCCCACGAGTAAAGGTAAAGCCATGAGCCCGGTAGGCTGTGATCAGATGGTCTGTGGGGTTTATTCCAGCCTCCAGGCCCACACAACAAGCTTCCTGCATTCAAGGAAAAAGCAGCAACGAGTCAATACAGTACACATTTCTAGATAAAAGGTTTCCTAGACTATTATGAAACATTTGGCCCAGTACAACTCTTCATTAATAACCACAGCAAGTAGCTGTATTTTTTCATCAGAAACAGAGTAAAGGATAAGGCTCAAGCCAGCCATAAATTGGCAACCCAGATATGGTGTTTCCTTTAAGTCTGTACAGTGATTGGAGAAAAAAATCCTGAATCAGATGTCAACATTAAAGTGTTGGGGGAATTTCACATGAAAATTGAGACTTCTGTCTTCTCTCAAAGAAACAAATAGGAAGTATTAGCCCTGTATTTCCATGTGGCACCGGCTGGCTGGAACCAGGTCATGACTTCCCCTGAAGTGGGCGACCGGCAGGTGCTGCCTGCTTCCATTCACCACCAGTCCCTGTCAGCACTCTCAATTCTTCGTATAGCTGGCAGCATTCACTCATTTATCCTACCTAACTAATGCCTGGTAGGTTTTTGATTTTGTAAACCTTGGCCTAAACCCACAACACAGAAATATATCCAGTACAGGTAATCACACTGCCATACAGCACAGGAAGTCAGCAACGTGATGCATAAGTAAACTCTTCAGCATAAGCTCATAGCAGGTCTCAGTATTCCCATTTTCATTCTAAAATACCAGCCTCAAAACCCTCTAATAGGTAAAGCAGGGTAAAAAACAAAAAATACATACCATACTTACATTCCTAAGTAACACAGTTTTATTACAAAACTGCCACTCACCTGACCATCACACAGGTGACAGAAACCACGAATAATTTTCTGTTTATACAGCTGATCTGCCTTTAACTCCATTCGGCGCACAGTCTGCATCATTCGGTAGTATTTGAGCCCGTCCTCCCTGGTGAGCACCGTAGTGACAGGAGGGCCCTCTTCCAGCCGGTGAAGATCGCATTTCTGAAATGTAATCAGACAATTCTCTCACAGTCACTACAATGTAAACACTGCCAATCTACTGTAAGATCTAACTCCACTGTAAACATTTAACTTAAAACCAGCAGACGAGCACATCAGAAATGCTACATACTGCTTCTGACTCCTTAAATCACAATGTTCACTGTGCAGTGGGATGGGGTTTCAGAGGAAGGAAATCTTTCTAAGATGACTTTCACTGAAAACCCCTAGAAGTTAACTGAGTTGTAGGTTGAAAGACAAACTTTCAAAAAGAAGCACTCTAAGAATCTTCTTATTCAAACATTTTACCGAATCACATTTTAAACTTTAAAATGTCTTTAATTTTATTAGCTTATTGCCCTTCACCAACCACCAGCAAGCTGCTAAGTAAGAAGAGTAGATTCAAATCTTTGCTGAACTTCTCCAAATCTGATTCTAGAACATGTGGAATAAAATGATGTAAAAGCATGAATATCAGGATGTTTTATCCCAAAGGTAAAACTATGTATCAAAGTGTACTTATGGAAAAAATTTTAACACAAAGGAAAACATCTCTTACCTTAATTTCAAATGTAGCATCGTTTGCAAAATTACGGGATGCCACCAGCACTCTGCTTGCCTTGAAAGATCAAAATACACAAATATATTAGTGCTCTTTACTGTCAATTATTTTTGAGTCATTATTCTTATTAATCAGCTATCAGGATGCAGTCCTAGAACTTTAACAAGCACTAACATATTCATAGACTTCTCTTTCATTCTGTTCACTGTGTTAGGATCTTGTCTTCCAAAACGAATCCTTGCTTTGGCTAATGAAACACAGTTGTACCCCCATCTGAAGGCAAACAGGAGAAAGGAAGGGAGCAAAAACCAAACCTATCTATTTACTCACTCTGCTTCCAAAGAAATTATGGTGAAAATATAATAAAGTCAATGGCCAAACTGAAGTGATTATTCTGTGGGCTTTGTTTATTTATGCTATTCATAGTCATGACCAGATATACTGAGCAAACTAAAGCTTCACTTTCAGAACTGTTCTTCAAATAAAACTATGATTCCATTCCTATTTCAGGCAAATAACTTCTCTATGCAATAGTACCTTAAGAAAAATATTTTAAACTACTCAAAGCATAAGATAAACACCATAGTGAGAAATGTACAGGATAAAAGAAAAGATGCTCAGCATTCCCTGACTTAAAACAAAGGATTTGAAGGATGTTTTAGGATTTGAACAGCCTGTATCTTAGGCAGGCTCCTCCTGAAGCCTTAGAAGGGAGGTATTCTCTGCAACAATGCTCCCTTCTTGATGTTCGGGTGACTGTCACTGCATAGGGGGATAGAAAGCTGGAGGAAATGTTTCCTTTACACTCTTTCAATTGAACACCTGCTCACAGCAAAAGTACTCTGTGCTGGCTAAGGTCCACGTTAGACCAGATTTAACCAGTCGGTAGTACTGCACTATTTTAGCCACATTCTGCCACGTCATACTGATATGTAAACCAACAAGGCTTCTTTTCTTGGAGACCTGAAGCACATTCTTCAAATCCCACAAAAAGTACCTTTGATATGTTCATACAGTGTATTATCATCCAACTTCTAGCACTGGACTTGACCTTGGTGAGAAGGGTTAAGGTTAATATGCCAAGCATACAAGCCAACAGACAGAAAGCTATTATCTACTCATCTCTTCACTCATTAATACACCATTATCTGATAAAGCCAACAAAGACAATGATATCGCTGAAAGAAAAAAGCTTAAATAGGAGAAATAAATGCTTCAGTTATGTTAGCAATAGAGACAGTCCATTAATACATCTAAGAATACAGTGAAGAAAATTGAGAAATTTGGGAACAGGTAAAGCAGAGAGGTTGTAAGATGACAAACAAAAGGTTATGTCTGGTAATCATGAAATGGACGTGTTATTTTTGACAATTAACAAATTATTTTGTGGGGCCAGAAATGTTTTCTATATTACAAAATAAGTTTCTAGATACTGCTACAGAAGCTGCAGTTTCTGAAGGGAAATTGGAGACCAAACCAGCCAGGCAACAGTAACCAAGAAAAGGAAAATTTTTCTTACTCCATCCTATAGCAGAAACAACGAAGAATGACAGTTCTATATAACAAATAACAGGAAGGCGAGGTCAAAGAGTACGACTGCCAGGAAGTTGCTTATTTTCTCCCCATTTCATTAAGATAAATCCCCAAAACAGTAAGAATCACTAATAAAGTGATTGAAAGGAGCCAAGGTAACTTAAAGTTAAGCTAAAAGTCCTATCAAAAGTCTGAATATATCATTATTTTAAACTGCTGAGATTGTTGAAAAGATTACCATTCATTTTCTCTGGACAGCCATAAATGGCTGCTCTCTTAAATAGGATTCCTTTAGGGTAGGGGGAAGGGGGATTGGATGAAGGCAGTCAAAAGTCAAAACAAACTTCCAGTAATAAGATAGGTAAGTGTTAGGGATGTAATGTACAACATGATAAAAATAAGGCTGCTGTATGTTACATTTGAACTCAGTTAAGAGAGTAAATCCTGAGTTCTCATCACAAGGAAAAATTTTTCCTATTTCTTTAACTTTGTATCTTTATGAGATGATGGATGTTCACTAAATGACAACCATGATAACCATTTCATGATATATGTAAATCATTATGCTGTACACCTTAAACTTGTACAACAATATATGTTAATTACATCTCAATAAAACTGGAAGAAGAAAAAAAGAAATCTGTGGAGCAACTGTGAATACAGAAACATCATTGGACACATACAATCATAACTGCATCCAAACAAGCTTAAACATTCTACTGCAATGGACTTAATGTTGTGTACTCCTAAAATTCACACATTGAAGCATCCTAAATCTGATGTTATTAGGAGGTGAGGTCTTTGGGAAGTGATTAGGTCATAATGGTGGAACCTTCATGAACGGGATTAGTGCCCTTATAAAAGGGACCTCAGAACCTAAATGTAAGAACAGATACCATAATACACCTAGAGGAAAACATAGGCAGAACACTCTGACATAAATCGCAGCAATACTTTTTTTTGAACCAGCTCCTAAAGTAACAGAAATAAAAGCAAAAATAAACAAATGGGACCTAATTAAACTTAAGAACTTTTGCACACCTAAAGATACCATAAACAAAATGAAAAGACAACCTACAGAATGGGAGAAAATATTTGCAAACGATGCAACTGACAAGGGAATAATTCCCCAAATATACATACAACTCATAGAGTTTAATATAAAACAAACAAAACAAAACAAGCAACCCACCTAAAAAAATGGGCAGAAGACCTAAATAGACATTTCTCCAAAGAAGACATCCAGTTGGTCAATAGGCACATGAAACGATGTTCAGCATTGCTTATTAGAGAAATGCATAGCAAAACTACAAGGAGGTATCACCTCACGCCAGTCAGAATGGCCATCATTAAAAAGTTTACAAATAATAAATGCTGGAAAGGGTATGGAGAAAAAGGAACCCACTTACACCGTTGGTGGGAATGTAGTTTGGTGCAGCCACCGTGGAGGACAGTATGGAAGTTCCTTAAAAAACTAAAAATAGATTTACCATATGATCCAGCAATTCCACTCCTGGGCATATATCCAGAGAAATCTCTAATTTGAATAAGACACATGCACCCCAATGTTCACAGCAGCACTATTTACAATAGCCAAGACATGGAAATAACCTAAATGTCCATCAACAGATGAATGGATAAATAAGATATGATATATATATATATATATATATATATATTCTATGGAATATTATGCAGCCATAAAAGGATGAAATAATGCCATTTGCAGCAACATGGATGGACCTAGAGATTATCATATTAAGTAAATCAGACAGAGAAAGACAAATATCATATGATGTCACTTATATGTGGAATCATAAGGAAAAAAAAGATACAAATTTTATTTACAAACCAGAAATTGATTTATGGATCCAGAAAACAAACTGTGGTTATGGGGGTTGGGGGGGGGAGGGAGGGAAGGATAGATTAGGAGTTTGTTATTAACAGATACAAATTTCTATATGTAAAATAGATAAAAACAGCAAGGGCCTACTGCACAGCACAGGGAACTATATTACTTGTGATGAGCTGTAATGGAAAAGAATCTGAACAAATATATATATTTGTGTATGTATAACTGAATGGCTTTGCTGAACACAAGAAACACATTGTAAATCGACTATACTTCAATAAAAAATAAGAATTAAAAAAAGGGACCTCAAAAAAAAAAAGGATTCCTTTGAGAGACCATGGACAAGTGTATTCAAACTTTGAAAAATAAAAGCTAAGTTCCTAAATATATGGGAATCATTCAAGTGAAAGGAAAATATTTCAGAAATTCCAGATTCTACCAAATCTTACCTACTAATTAAAAAAAACAAATCTCACAAAAGGGGTCATAATGGGAATACAAACAATAAGACAAAGAATAAAATTTTAAAATGCAATTTAACCTTCTGTGAAATAAGCTCTTTGAAAACTCAACCTCATTCAAAGATGAAATCACAGGTACTTCTTAAGTAGCTTAAGTTACACTGGACTCTCTGCTTTCATTTTAGAGACTCAACTTTCTGTCATGCTAGCATCTAGTTCCTGAAGGTTTCGGTGGGTTGGCTGAAGGGTGGCAAGCTGAGGGAATAAAGAGTGGGCCAGTGTCTCAAAGCTTCCGCCAGAACCAGCCCCAAGTAAATCTTGATGTTCTCAAACCCTGAGAAGTTAACACATCTTTCAATTTACAACACTTCCACTTAGATTCTCTAAGATAATAAAGATAGTAAACCAACTTTGATTCATATAGTGAGTTTGCTAAAAGATAAATTCCTTAAACATGTTTGTATCACTCATGCTTAGATAAGAAACTGGTCATTTATCTTGATGTGACTAACATCTGATACGCTGTCTTAATTTTAAAGACACTTTTGCAAATCAGTGTCAAACCCAGAATCATTGAGGACCTCACATGCTGTGGAACAATAAACTTGTCCAGTCCATGACTGACAGTTTTAAGTGCTTTTTCCTTCGGCGAACAATCATCTTTTTAGCATTAAGAAGTATACGTTAAAAAGAGAAAGTAGAAGTTTATGATGATTCCAAAACAAACACTTTAAACTCTCTAAGTAGCCCTGTGTTAACATACCTGAAACCTGACAGATGAATGAGCACACTGGACCCAAGAGCTCAAAGTGCACTGAACACTCTGGGGACATCTCCTGATTTACTATGGCTTACGGAAATACTGATTAGCTGATTTGCTTTGTTGCATGGAGGGGGAGCTATTAAACAGGGCTTCAGCACACAGACACACAATCTGGGGTTAATACAAAATTCTTCAAAGTATTTTTCCCTGTGCCTTAGTATAATTAATGCCCATATACAGCCAGCAGGAAACACACGCAAAACAGCCAAAAAGAAGGGTGGCTCAAAGTAAGGGACAGTAACTCGTTCAACGTCTCTTACCCCATTTAAAAAATAATTAATTAAAAGAGAAAAATGTTCTGCACAGGAATCCACTGTAATAATCTTTTCTCTCAATAAGAACTAAGTTATATTCCATTCTTGTTTTATCCAGTTAACAGATCCAGTAGCCCAAATGTCTTTTCTATTCGATTTGAGATGTATTATACGATTTTTGAAAAGGCCAAAGTTTCACTGAAGTGAAGACAAAGTGCAATTTGCCTTTCATGTCAATATATTGCTGGAAGACAAAAACACAACCAGGAGTATTGAGGACAGCTGAGGGAATGAGGCTGATTTTAAGTAATAGCTTCTCTCTGTACTTAGGGACACAGAAGTAAGAGTAATTTGAAAACTCACAAATTTTCCTTGCCCTGTAGAACATCACCAATTCAAAGTTCTTATTTTTTTAATGTAGTCCTTTCAATTTAACATAATACAGAACTAAGACCCTGTATAATCTTGAAAATATGTTTCTATTACTTATGGTCAACTAAAAACAAATGTTATGGAGATTAAATAGCCAAGTGACTAGCACATATTAAGAGCTCAATAAATGTTGGCTATATCATGGGTATAAGCAGAAATAAATAACGGTGACATGCACTAGTCCTTCAGGTAGATCCAGTTACAACTTAAATACTAATAATGATTAATTCCAATAGTGTTTTGTAATTGTTTCAGTCAGTGGCATTCCCAGAGGTGTACATTTTCTACCTTTTGATGATCTCTGCCCATACTAAGCAAAGTTGCTACTAAGTCTTGCAGAGTTACTAGAGCCAGAATTGCAAGTCAAAGCTTGGCTGCAGTTATACCAAGTAATACTACGCCCCAGCGCCTAGAAGTCAAAATGCTCCAAACCTAGAGTAGGCACATCTAAAAGCTGGCGCCAGAAATAGCACTAACCTCTAATCCCACTCTGCCAAGCACCACTGCCGTTTTCTTTAGCTACTTTTACCCTAAGTGTGTCTCCGTGTGTATGCTTGCGCGCCCGCACAAGGGTGTATGCAAAGTGGACGGAGCTTTCCTCTGGGTTCTTCTGCCTGACTGCTCTTGAACTGTCTGCCAAGAAAAGCTCAACGTTGAGGGAGAGGAAAGGGTAGGAAGCGTATTTCTGGGGTGTCTAATCCTTAATGAACCCTCCAAAGAGCCGAGAGCTGGTGTTCAACAAATGTACACAAAACTGGGCACACAAATAATACTTAATGCAGACGGCACCTACCAGGCGCTAACGTGTCACTTGTTTCAGCCTCAAGACAATCCCACGGACTAAGTACTCGTCTCCATTTTATAGATGAGGAAACTCAGCATCTGGCTGTTTTGGCGGGGCGGGGCGGGGGGGGGGGCGAGGGCGGCGGCGACTCTTGCCCAAGGTCACAGGACTAGTAAATGGTGAAGCCAGTGTTTAAACGGAGCCACTCAGTCTCCGGATTCCCGGTCAAGAGGAACGAAGTTCGGTAGATTTAAAATGAGTGGACCGGAAAAAGACGACCAACTGGAGGCTCGAGGAAGCCCAAGGCTCCCTCTTCTGTCTTCAGTAAACGAACGGGCACTTTTGCAGCGCACCGACTAGTCCGGTACCTGGAGCCGCGACTGACCTCTACGCGGACCTTGCCGAGCTCCCCCTCCCCAAGTCGGCCCAGGTGGGCCGAGCCGCCGCTTCTCCCGGGGTCGCGAGCTGAGCACACAACGTGGTGGCAAAACCAAGGCCCGCGACTCCCCGAGCACGCCGCGTG